AAACCCTAAACCCTATATGGATGGTTGTCAAAATCATGGCTCCTTTTTGGATCCCTGTTATAATACGGCAGCTAATATTTAGGGTACCCAAAAAGGGACCATAATTTTGACAACCACTCATATAACCCACGTTAGGAAGTTGAGTCTATAGCTCCCATGGTAGTTTCCCTAAATTACTGTTCCCAAAATGGGGGAAATTTATATAGGGCCCCGTATTATAATGGGTACCCCAATATAGGACCCCGTATTATAGGGAATTTAGACCAATCCCCATATATTGGAGAAGGGGGATGACGAAGAGGCAAGGCCACCGTGCCCTTCTGAGAGCCCAGCCAAGGCGAACTTAATCTCGGCCTTTGCATCACCGCCGGCCTACCCACATAGAGCATTCCGCTCCCTACAGAGGTTAGGGTTTTTAGGCTTAGGCTGAGGATGACTTCAAAATCCCCTGCCCTCCCAAGTAAAAATCACCTTCAACATAGTAGATATTCCTCTCGTGACTCTTGTGTTTCGGCATCGTTTTCGTAACATCTTGTTTATTTAGGGGGCTTGACTCTGGGGGCTACGGAGTAAGCATACAGCTATCATCAAGCAATGCTTGGTTCAGGCTTCAAGCTTCTATAAGGAAACCCTCAATCCTAACCCAAAACCCTATAGTCCCCCTTAAGTAGATAGAATATGGGGTATATGGGTATCTTACTATAATATACCCAAAGCCATATTCTATCTACTTAAAGGGGACTATAAACCCCTAACCCCCCAAGCCCCAAGCCCCGAGCCCTACCATGGCTTCGGGGTTGGTAAGGCAAGGGTCTCTCGAGATCAGGACAAGGTGGATGCCTATATCCCCTCCTTTAGGGTTAGGGATAGACCCTGCAAAAGTGCCCTTTTGCAGACTACGGTCCTTTTGATGATGGGGGTATGCCTCACTATAGCTGTATAAGGAGCATAAAGGATCATATTGGTAGTTACTTAAACTTCTAATACAGACCCTATCGACAAATACGGACGATATAACCCTGAAGCCCAAATCGACAAATGGGCCGTTGTCTAAACTCCTAGTATCCCCCTTAATAACCCTTATAGTAGTCCCCTATACAATCCCCTATATAACCCCTTTAAGGAGTTTAGACTATAGCTCAAATGGGGTGATACCTTGTCCTTGGCATGCTTTCAGGTTGGCCCTTGACATGCTGTTAGGTTTAGGGTTCAGGGTTTAGGGGAAACATGGAAGCCCGCCAGGTACCCCGGAAAGACATCGGTCCACAGAAAAAGGGACCACAGCAGCTTCCATGTTTGTTTGGGGAGGGTAAAACCCTAAATCCTTCAACCCTGCAACCCGTAAAATCATAAACCCCTAAGACCCTAGACCCCTGAACCCTTGAACCCTGAACCCCTCAATCCTTAATCCCTAAGCACTAAAACCCTAAAGAGCCCCTAAGCCCTCACGCGGCCTTCGGAGGTGGAGAGTACTGGGGGTGCTTCGCAAAGACTGGCTGGCCAAAGTCCTGTGCTTCGGTGGGGGCTGCTGCCGCGGCCACAGCCTTGGATTTGCTGATGAGGTCTGGAACTCCTGGAACAGCGGCTGCCAGCGGCACTGACGCAGCGACAGGTGCCGCAGTGGCGGCAGCGGCTGCGGCCGCTGCCTCCGCAGTGGTGGGTGCCATTGTTGGTGCAGCCTTGGGCAGAGTCCTTGCGGGCACCACATTCCCCATGTTTGCCTTGGGTGGAGGAGTCCCTTGTGCCTTCTGTTTGGCCATGGCCATGCCTGACTTGGCCATTGCCGCCCCAAGGGTCTCCTCGCGCGATGCAGGTTCCCCCACAGCCTTGGATGCGTTCCACAGTAACGTGAAAAACTGACTCCCCAATGCCAATGGGTTGTAAAAAGAGGCTACGCACATGCTTGAAACCCATGAGGCCACTCAGCTTCTGTACTATGATGCTGGGGCCTTGGAATGCGATGAGGCAAGGCCTATATGCTTTCGGCATTATGGAACGAACCGTTGGTGCACCAATGCGGAGGTTTCGCGAAAGAGGTAACCCTCAGGACCATACTAATTAGGGGTAAACACGGACTGTATGAGATTGAAGGGTTCCCCTTCCTCAGGCTGATATACGAACTATCTTGAGAAACTCCGATATGACAACATCGCCAGGGTCCCCTGCCGCGCGGCCCCTAACTACTTGTTATTCTTATACCTGGGATCTTGCGAGGTCAGGGGTATTTGGGCGTCTCCCATAGTAATGGCCTATCTGCAACGTTTGATAATTCAGACCCAGTGACGGCGGCTTTAGAGGATGTCGGAGCCTCCGTGGGGGCTGCTGCCGCAGCATCAGCTTGCGGGGCTGTAGCAGCCCCTGCGGTAGCCGTTTGATTCATGGCGGCTGTTACGTCTACGTTCGGGAAGCTGTACCCAGGCATCATGTTGACAGCACCCATGTTGCCAACAGTTGGCATCGCCAGGTTATAGGCAGCGTAAAGTGCAGACATGTCGTAGGTAAAGCCATACTGCGCAATGGCAGCAGCCGTAGCGTTTGGGTGCACCGTCGTTTCAGCGGCTGGTTGTGGCTGTGACTTCGCAGGTTCAGGCTCAGGCGTGGGTGCACGGGCGGGCGCCCTTTGCGGCGCTGGCTCGATCTTCTTCTCGGGGAGGATGATCGGCTCGGTCACCCGCGGCTCCAAAGCCTTCTTCTTGTTGTGCTCATGGGCGGCCATTGCCTTCTGCATGTCCACCTGAAGACACAAGAGGGCCCACTTGTGAAGGGCATGGGAAGCCACTTCTGGGTTCTGCCGTCTTCCAAACATGTTGCAACAATTAGGCAATCATGCGGTCAACAACAAGAGCTACGGCCCTCAGGCTTGAAAGCGAGCCTCCATTTGCCTGCTCCTCTTCTCTTGGGCCTCCACATCACACACACACACACACACAGCCATGCCTCATGCTGCTACGACTCAACAAATCCAAGCCACAAACCCAGCATATGGAAATCTCTTAAGATAATCCTAATATGATCCCTGTGAGAGACCGGCATGATTATTACATAACCCCTCTTTGAGAACCACCATCTAGGACTGAAAGCCATCTTGAGCTGCATCAGCAACACTTGGAGGGTCAGGGGTACTTAGCAAGTAGGTTAGTACCCCTATAACCAACATAGCAACCCTTACTATTCCCGTTAATATCCTGCCTACTAAGTCCCCCTGACCCTCCAGGTAAGGTCAATAAGGCGCCCACCTCTTGCTGCTCCTTTTGCAGCTTTTCCTCCGTCTCTTTCCTAAGCCAGTTGTCAGGATTTGAGGTTTGGGGCTTAGGATTTAGGGATTTAGGGTTGCAGGATTAAGGTTTAGGTATGTAAGGTTTAGGGATAGAGGGTTTAGGAATGTAGGGTTTAGTTTAGGGATTTAGGGTTTGGGACGAGCGGTTTATAGGTTTTAGGGCTGCCGCTTTATGGTGCCTGGGGTGTGTGCGGGGGGACGTGGGGGGTCGGTCGAGGCTATCCAGCAATCCTAGATAATAGAGCACCCCCCGCACCTGATAGGAAAGATTCCCAATATACCACCGTTGCATTGCATATGAACTAGGGGTCCATACTCCTAACATCCCCTTAATAGCCCCTATAGTAGTCCCCTACATACTCCCTAAACCCCTGAACCCTCATACAACCCCCGTCATAAAGTGTCACTGACAGGTTCCTGAATTCCCGGGTTTTTAGTTTTGGGTTTAGGGCCTCGGGGCCAGTAGCCAAACCGTAGAGGCTGCCCGCCTAAGCCGGAACCCTAGCAACCAGGTCTGGAGTGTGGGTTGGCTACTGCCCCTACGCAGTAACAGTTGGACAACTTCACATTTTATCTATATGATCACCCAGGGTTGGGGGGGCACCCTAAACCTAATCCCTAAACCTTAAACCCTTACCAATAGAGGGAGGGGATGACGTCCCAGTTGCTGTCTGCTCTCCAGCTCTTTCTTCTGGCGTTGAAGCTTCACGGGATTACTCTCGCGTCGACCCTTGGAATTTGGAGGCTTCAGGGCGTAGGGCTCAGCGCTCAGGGTTTAGTATTGAGGGTTTAAGGAGAATCTCAAGTGGGAATTATGTATGGGCTCCTCATGCTATAATGTAGGCACCTGACCCTGGTCGTCCTGATACTCCCAATATATGTACATGTATATATATATATACATGTCTATTTATTTACATAGCTGCCCCACTTGTACCTCCATTGGCCCTTCTGAGTCCTGTATAGCAGGCTAAGGGCCCAAATTAAGGGGCCACACTTCAACCACCCTAAACCCTAAACCCTTAACCCTAAATGGGGGCCAAAGGACTTAGGATTTTATGAGACCTGTAGGCATTGCAGGGTCAAGGACTGCAGAGCTCAGGATGCCTTAGCCTGAGGACATTCCTAGACCCCCCAAGTACCCTCTATAGACCCAAAGTACCCCCAAATAGAAGCTACATAGACCCTATTTTGGGGTACTTGGGGGGTCTTGGGGTACTTGGGGGGTCTAGGGTTACCCTAAACCCTACACCCCGCGGATGTCGAGGTTGTGAAAGGGAATTCGAATGTGACAACATCAAACGGCACCTCCACACCGGCACGGCGGTGATTGCACAAATGGTGGTTGTTCAAACTACTTGTCCCCGAAATGTTCATGAGGTAGGTTCCCCTTTCTAGCTATACTCCCTTTAAAAGGAAATGTATTTGCAATGGTCCCTTCTTTGCGACTGGCCTTTATACACCCTACATCCTAAACCCTAAACCTCAACACTTCAGGACTTATATACGGGTTATTTGTAATGTTGGACCCGCTTTAATATGTACACGTACCCCCCCCCCTTCCCCCCTCTCCCCCTCTCCCCCTCCCCCCCTCTCCCCCTCCCCCTCCCCCTGCCCCTCTCCTGCCCTCCCACCCCCTCCACCCCTCCCCTCTGCCCCCTTCCCCCCCTTGCCCCCCACAATTTGAAGACACAGAAAAAAATGTTCGAGAGGTCTCAGTTGATTCCTAATGGTATGAGTATGAGTATTAGTATTAGTATCATCTGAGCAGCATGCATGTGAGCTTTAAGCTAACCTCTGGGCTGTTCAGGGCTTCAAAGCAAATAGTGAGGCTTTAGGAATTAAGACTTTTAAACTCTGACTTATCTGATGAATTACTATTTAAAACTACATGTTTTATCTTTTCAAACCTAAAAAATTACTACTTTGGCCCCCGAAACTTAAAGAGGGTCCCTGAACATATCCCAGATCCTGAATAAGCCCGAAGAACTTGACATCAAACAGGGTCCCCATGCATAAGAGGGTCCAACATTAACATCAAATCGAAAATGGGGGTATATAATATAGGTTGTTCCTGGACCCTCCAATTACTTTTTTTCTGGTTTTTGTTCCCACTATTCGGGACCCTATGGCTTCAATGAAGGGCACTGCAATGTTGAGGTTGAATTTTACTAATTTGGGAATGTTTCTTATTGGGAGCGTCGGGGGGGGCGGGAGGCTTTCAAGTTAGACGGGCCTGGTGTGACAGAGGCCCTTGGAGGATGTATTCTGAAAATAAAACTTGGAATATGATAGGGGTCCTCTGCTTATGTCCTACTACTCAGGGCTAATTGGAAGGCTGGACGTTTGCGGTGGTCCAGCTAGCTTTTCTCAGCCAACTCTGCTGGTCCTAACTTTTCCTGCAGCCCGAAGAAAATTGCACCAACAGAATGTGTCACGGTACGAGACTCTGCCTCCATGCTTTGCGCAACACATGCACACATACTGCTGCGTCAGCAGCTGTCGCAGAAGGGCCGAGACACACGATATATAACTCCTATGTTCCCCCCTATTCCCTTATCTAATTTGCGCATGGTCCCTATATCTTGGGCACACGCTGAAGATGTATCTTTAAGCATAAGCATTCCTGGTTTGAAAAACTTCCAAAACTTCCAAAGTAGCCCCTAGCAGTATTTTTTCAAAGGCCTGGGGGCAAGAAGTGGGTACATTCTGTACCACGTGCTTGCAGCCAGCAGGGGGGCTGAATAGCAGAATCTTTGCAACCTGTGATGATGTCCCCAGAGCGAATCTGCAGTATGGTAGCTGACATCCGGGGTGCAGGGGATGATCTTGTAAAACAACAGCTTCTTTGTTGGCCAACACGCTTCCCAACGGCAAGGCCAGTTGGATGTTAGCATGGGATGGGTGAAGACCTTGATAATGCCTGCGCGGCGGGTCCATACAGATCCGGGAATCCAGGCAAGCGTTTTAAGCTTGAGTCAGAAAGCCTGCCCATGACTCAACCCAAGACCTTTGCTGGGGGCATCGTGTACATAGCCCCATCCTAACAAAGAAGTAACCCCAAAACTTGATAGCACCTATGCCTAGACATAAATACATGTACAAACTTGGGGTCAGGGCTTATACCATCGACCATTTGGGAGGTGGCTCGGGCTGAGCCAAACTCCTAGTATCCCCTTGATAACCCCTATATCAGTCCCCTATATAACCTTTAAGGAGTTTAGACTATAGCTCATATATTGGAAGAGGGGATGACGAAGAGGCAAGGCCACCGTGCCCATCTGAGAGCCCAGCCAAGGCGAACTTAAACTCGCCTTTTGCATCACCGCCGGCCTACCCACATAGAGCACTCCACTCCCCACAGAGGTTAGGGTTTTAGTCTTAGGCCGAGGGTGACCTCAAATCCCCCACCTTCACAAGTAAAAAACACCTTCAACACATATTCCTCTCGTGACTCTTGTGGTTCCGTATTGTTTCAGGAACATTTTGTTTATTTAGGGAGCTTGATTACGGGGCCGCGGAGTAAGCATACAGTCATCATTAAGCAATGCTTGGTTCAGGTTTGGCGGGAAAATTGGCAATGGCACAATACAAGCGTAGCCTAGAGATCTCAGCGAGTGTGTGGGGACCGGGTTGTCGCTTGAAAAATGACCGTGCACTTGCTAAACGCCACAGCTGCAAACACCTCAAAGCTGCCAGTGCAATCCAAAACCTAAAGCCTTAACAAACCGGGGTCCCAGGAAAAACCGTGCTGAGGCCTCACTAGAACTAACTGGAAGGACATATTCAACTCGACAAGCATCACACCGCTCTTCGATGTCGGACTCCCGAACAAAATCTCTAACTTCACAAAAACCAGTTTAGGGCGCTCATTAGAAAACCCTCCTGTGTTCCTTGGCGTATGGGCAAATGAACAAAACATGGAAGGCAAAGCTTGCTTGCCGTATAAACCTAGGGGTATATGGGGGCTACATGGGGTTATATGGGGTTTCATAGGGTTATCGGGTACATATTGGGCAGCAACGAACGGTCGTTGTTGCCAAGGCTGATCAACCCCAAAGCCCACACAGAGTGGCGGGAAGCCCTTGACCTCCTCAAAACTAACATGGGACGCCCCAAAAAACACTGAAAAGACCAGCATACGTGTCAAAGATTGCTATTTGGGTTTGCATGTGAGCTAACCTAACCCCTCTAATAGTCTCCTATCTAATTTCCTATGTAACCCCCTTTAAGGAGTTTAGACTGTAGTTCATGTGAGCTCTAGTCTAAAACTCCTAGTATCCCTCTTAATTATCCCCATAATCGTCCCATATATAATCCACATATATAACCCCCCCAAACCCTAAACCCTAAACCCTGACAGAGTTTAGACTGTCACTGTAGCTCATGTTAGTTTTGCGGAGGGCAGCCATTGTGTCGGCCTCCTCGGGGCTGTGCAGCTCCACGGCTTTCTGAGC